AATATTTTTAATCCATAATATAAGATTATATGTGAAAATAACACAGAAAAATTCAAAACACTTGATTTTGAACGCTTTATTTTAGAATTGCAACATATTCAATTATATGAATCTAGCTAAACATTAAACTCATAAAATTTAAATTTGAAATCTACTCAAACTACTCCTTCTCCCTCTTACATCGATTCTCCATTAGATGATGAGCCCATATACGAATATATGTATTTTAGCTGGGCCTAAATGTATGAATGAGAAAACGTAACATAAAGCAAAACAATTTTTTATAGGAAAAACTACAGAAAATAGCAAACTATATCTCATATTAAAATAATATAGCTATAGTTAACTTTATTTATATTTTATGGTTATATTTAATGAATAAATAGCAAATACAATTTCACACGCCTAAAATTATTTTATACAATTTCACACGCCTAAATTTTTTCCCTCTTTTCACGCTTCCCTCTTTCCTACTCCCCTTTTTGCAACTTTCATTCTTATCCCAAATCAAATCTTTATCCTCAAATCACAAACATTACTCCTAAATCAACTTCCCATAAGACGCAGCTGGTTGCCCCATTATCGATTCTAATGCCTTCTCTTTTTGCTCGCCATGCCAACATGTAGTTAATATCAATACCCAAGTCCAATCTCACGTCATCCCTGATATCATTTGGAGTGTACTTCCTCTTGTGATTTCTCAATTTTGGTGCGATTATTCCTCTAATCTATCCACTTGTTGCACGACAATCTGAATGCACCCCATCCTTTAAAGGACATGTATGTTCAGAGTTAAAAACTCTAATTCTGAACATCTTCGACTTGTTAATACTTGACGCTTTCATCAGCCATGGGCATTCTTTAGATTGTCATACAAGAGTATAGCTGCGAATTCAATTTATATTGTTTTGTTAGTTCTGCTTTGCATCTGCAAACATAACTCAATACACTTAAAATGAAACAAATTTAACAACAATTTACCTTATAGAATTTGACCTCTCCACCAAGAATTTAAACCTTTTTTCGATTGAATACTTTTCCATCACATCCTTCAATGTCGACTTATCCATGTATAACTGATCAATCATTATCTCCTTTTGCAATCTGTTCGTAATTATTAAATCATTTCCACCATCAAATGCATCTACTGGTTGATCGCCAAACATTGGGACAATTGGTAATGTATCATTCGTACCAATTAATTCTTGATTTTATTCAAGTTGCAACACATCACCTTCAATAGAAGTTTCTCCAAATTGAGTGTTGATCTTTTTCAACTGAACATATACACGCACACCCATGTCGTTACGTATTTCCATAGGCGTGTCGTTACCTTCGACAATGTATTTAATTTTCATACACTTTTTTGTAGGATCGACGTTCAATTGTACCGAAATCAAATCAACTAAATCGGAATACGAAGCATATTCCTTCAACACTATCCCGTCAATGCTATATTCTACATAGCAATTCTCTTCGCTCCATTTTCCGGAATGCCGAATCAAAACTGTGATAGTAGCCATGGAATTGTTTTTTTGCTTTTGGCGTGAAATGACAAGGAAAGAAGGAACATATTTTCAATTTTAAACTGATCAGAATCCTATACCTTATAGGTCAGTTACATTTTTTAAAGTGCCAAATTAGTGGGTTTAAGGGCTGGAAAATAGCCTTGTCAGTTACATTAACTGACCTCATTTAGTGGGAGTTAATTTTGAATGTATTTTTGTATTAAAAAAAAATGAAATATTTATGGAATTTAGCTATTTTTTAACTCAAACTGTAGCTATTTTTTTAAAATATGATACTTATAGCTATTTCAATCTAATAACCCTAAAACTATAGTCATTTATGTAAGTTTTACTTTAAAAAAAATGAAATATTTATGGAATTTAGCTATTTTTTAACTCAAACTGTAGCTATTTTTTTAAAATATGATACTTATAGCTATTTCAATCTAATAACCCTAAAACTATAGTCATTTATGTAAGTTTTACTTTAAAAAAAATGAAATATTTATGGAATTTAGCTATTTTTTAACTCAAACTGTAGCTATTTTTTTAAAATATGATACTTATAGCTATTTCAATCTAATAACCCTAAAACTATAGTCATTTATGTAAGTTTTACTTTAAAAAAAATGAAATATTTATGGAATTTAGCTATTTTTTAACTCAAACTGTAGCTATTTTTTTAAAATATGATACTTATAGCTATTTCAATCTAATAACCCTAAAACTATAGTCATTTATGTAAGTTTTACTTTAAAAAAAATGAAATATTTATGGAATTTAGCTATTTTTTAACTCAAACTGTAGCTATTTTTTTAAAATATGATACTTATAGCTATTTCAATCTAATAACCCTAAAACTATAGTCATTTATGTAAGTTTTACTATTTTATATCCAATTTTCCATCCATGTGAAGGTTAATACTCATTTGCTATTCTTGTAAGTTGTGAATATCATATGTTATTGCCTTGTACTAAAAATATATGAATTGAAATTTAGATTATGATGCAGAGTTATTGTTATGAATTATTTTTAGTATGATCTCACCATATAATATTGATATATTGGAGATTCAACCATTATATTTTAGTCGTCAACAATCCTATATATCTTTAAAATTGCTTAGATTTGATATGTCCATAATCCATAGATAATTTAGAGTCAAAATTAATAGATGAAATCAAGTTTAAAGGTTTCGAGACAACACATGTATCTAACACGTATCTCACACATATGTATACACAGGGAATACATTTGATACATATACAAGTTATACATAATTGGGATATACATCTCAACGTCTTGCATATATTACATTATCTATACTTTAAAGTTTTAATTCAAATCGCCTCAAATCTCCACCAAATCATTCCAAAATTGAGATTCAAGTTATTGAAAATATGTCAAACATTATCGAATAGCACCTCATCAAAACTAATCAAAAATATATTTCATTTCCTCGACTACTATCTAAATTTCTAGTTGATCAGTTAAGCTATTTATTAGTAGTATTAAATACTTCAATTGAATGTGTAACTCCATACCTTTCTAAAAATAAACTACTATTTCTAACTATACCCTTAACATTAAAGAAGTATGCACTATATTTAAGAAAAAAACAATTTATTTTTATTAAATAGAAATAGCTAAATTATACTTTATATTTTTAATTTTGTTAATGAATGCGAAGAGAATTAAAATAAGAGGAAAGAACGGACACACGTTAACTACACTTTTTTTTTTAAAAAAAATAATCATAAATACGCCCTGCTTCAACTTAATAATATGAGTTTATTCGTCCGCACAAATTCAAATTAATTTTTGAATTCATACATTTCAAATATTGTAATAGTAGTTTTTTTTAAAAAAACAACATGAGTTTTAATGCTCTTTTTATTTTTATTTGTCACGTTTTACTTTTTGAGAGTCAAATTATATGAATTTTGACAAACATTCTGAGATGTGTTTTTTTCCAGTCATATCAACATGAGAAGAGTGCAACTTATAATATTTTTTTCAAATAATTTTTTAATATCAAAATTTCAATAATTTAATTCAAAATAACTTTATTAATCTCTTTGATTAAACGAAACATGACAAATAAAAAAATTTGAAAAGAGGGGTACATTTTTCTAGCTAGACATAGTTGGCTTCAACATTAAATGAAAGAATTGAAGACTCCTATAAGAGTATCCAGAAGTCTCCAATTGGGAAATGGAAAAAACAATTTAATTTCTAATTAATACACTTTCTAGAACATTTTATCATTATATATTTGAAATTTTTAAAATTTATGATTCGAATTTCAAAAAAATAATTTGAAAACTTTCTAGAACATACTTGTCATGTTTTAATTATTGTTGTTACAACACTTGTCATGTTTTATTATTACTGTTCATTTACTATACTCACGCTTAACGTGCAACTTTATACTACCTTTTTCTTTAGTAACGTATGCCAGCTCATGACTTGTTAGATATTTTTTGGAAGCATAATAATCGTGAGGGATAAAAAGATTGTTTTCGACAGTAAAAAAATAATCTCATATTTTTATTATATGAAAAATAAATAGATTATTTTCAAAATATTCTCGATCAGATTTCAACTCACGTTGATTGAAGCATACATTATAAGCCGTTAATTTTCCTAATTGGAAAATACAAAAAGCGACTGCTAACTACTCTGCCTATTCATTTGTGTATTGTTTGATTTTTAGACACGACACGCAAATTAGTTGCTTACCATTTAGTGTTTTCTTTCGTTTATTTTATGTGACGTATCTTTTTAAGTTCGTTTTAAAAAATAAATATTATTTTATTATAATTAGAAATAATTTAATTTTTAAATTCTGGTTCTTTTACCTTTAATGAAACAACTTAAACCCCATAAATATCTAATAATTTTTTAGATTGCAAATTTTTTATTTAAAAAATTATTCTTAAACACAATATTAAGTTAAACGATGCAATACAAAATGAGACAGAAGGAGTACAATTTTTGGTGTTTTCTCTTTCTTAAATTCATTATTATAGCTAACCATTAAGAAATGTGGCACGCCATATGTGATTTTCCTCTCTCTTAATCAGATGTTTTAGATTCTAATCATGAAAAATCGCTAAAAGAGGAAATAGATCAAGGAATGAGTTTTCGGAAAAAATAATTATTGATGCATATAATAGAAAATTGCTAGCATAATCTATGAGTCTATTTATTTGTTGATTTTTGTAACTAATACATCTTTTATTAGTAGAAAACGTGTTTCCTTATTAATGCCTAAATTTTACGCTACACAGTCTTACTTCTACCTTACAGTTGTAAAAAGAACGGCTTGTTGACCAAGCAACTATCTTTGTCTCTTTCTAAAAATTCCAAAAATGCCCTTGAATTTCTACCTATATATAAATGTCCATTTCCTTTCAACACTTCAAGCAAATTAAACTCTTTTCATTTTCATCTTCACCAGATAAAACTATTAATTGTATTTTCCAACAATGGCTTTAAGTTGGGTTGTTACCATTGCAAACACAATTACTCTTGGAAACTCGAAATCACAATCATTGATCGAATTCAACAAAAATCAAACGAATCAGAGTATCATTTCCATTTCGAATGAAAAATATTCCGAGTTTTTTCAAATGCCTCTTCATTATCCAAGATACACAAAACATGATTACGAGAAGATGGAGGAATGGAAGATTGATACGCTTCTCAGAGAATATGGACTTAATTTTCAGGGGACTGTTGATGAGAAGAGGAGATTTGCTATAGGTGCATTTGTGTGGCCTGATCAACTTTGATTTTTGTCCTAATTTGGTTATATATGTTTTGATTTTGAGATTGAGACGGAGTTGTTGTTGTTGTTATAGATGTTTGTGGCTAGTTTGAGTTTAAATTGTCCTAGTTGTTCCAATATATGATGGTCTGATTCTAACGTGTTTGAGATTGAGACGGTGTAATTGTTGTAATAGATGTTTTCATTTGTGGCTAAACAAGTTTAAATTTGTCCTAATAGGTCATGCATGCTCTGTTTTTTTCTTATATATTATAGCGGAATTTAACTTGCTTCAAATTGAAACGGAGTAGTTATTGTTATTACAAATATTGTAATATTCATCCCATAATTTTCTATCTTCTCTTCAAAATACTTGTTAAAAATGAAGAAAATGTTCATGTTCAAGGTGTTTTAATTTACACCTTGAACAAAACTCGTATTATGGTGCTAGATCGAAAGTTTCATTGTTCTAAAAATAAGTACTCCCTCTGTTCCAATTTATGTAAAATTTGATCAAATTGATTGAAAATTTCGATATTTGTTAGGTGGGCCAACGGATTGATTAAGTTGGGCCGAATTTTCATATCACAAAACATACTATTGTGTTCATGGAATTAGATTGGGCCAACAAATGAAGCAATTACATATTGTTGGGTCACTTGAAGTTAATAGAAAAAATGGCACAGCATGACATCCCATTTTACTAATTGGCAACATATAGCCATCTTTTATTTTCTTGACAAAAGAAGGTTTTTAAAAATTAAATTTTGCATAATGCTAAACCCAATTGTCGAAAAAAATTCATGATAATATTTTTGGCGTATCTTAGAATAATAAATACAAAAGAGGTGACTTGATTTTTGTGGGATATGATAGTTTTCCGACAAATTCTAGCAAATACTTAGATGATGTTTTCTGCTAAGAATGATATTTTAAGGATATAATTTAAATTAATTAGAGTATAGTTTAAGGATGATTTTAGCTAAAAAAATTTAGCAAATATACTTATGGAAAGGATTTTAGAATGAAAAAAGCGACAAAATAAAAAAAGAATAGCCTGAATTTTTGCCAAAAATAATTGAAAAAACTTCAATTCTACGAATCATGAAATTCCACAATTAATAGGACAAAAAAAATACTAGAACATATGAAAGAGGATCAATGGAATGAAAAAAAATAACTTGAAATTTTCGCCAAAAAAAACTTTAATTCCATAAATCACAAATCCCACCATTAATATGGAAAGAAAATGCTATAACATATGAGGGAGTGACAACAATTAAAATAATATCATTAGCCACTTGTACATATTCATAATAAAGCTTGGGAAGGCCATTCGCAAATAATACATTAATCCAATGTGACTTGTGAGTAATGTATCAAAATCTTAAATAATGTTGCAGTTACATTTGCCACAAGGAATGTTTCTTCTACTATATATATACTTGAATCTTTATTACTAACATTAGAAGATATATATATATATATATATATCATGAACACTAATTCTAAGTTGTTGATCCACACATCATTATTGAATTTTCATTTGGTTCAGAGACAATAACTAGAACTCTCATATTTTCCTTCCCACCTGTTAATTATCAGATCAAATATAAAATTAAAGTTTAATTAACAATCTTCTTCAATAATGAAAAATATATAATTGGATAAATTAAGTGCAACTGATATACAAATTCATTTGAACCTGCAATATTCTTCTTCATTTATTGGAATTTGAAGTTCCAAGTCATGTTCTTCAAATGGCTTGAAGATTAAGTCGAGTTGCTCATCGTGTACTTTGTCAAGAGTTGAAGGGTTCCACTAAAAACGAAGAAAGGGAAGTGTTCTATCAATATTTTTATGTAAATGCATCAACTACTTATAATTATATGTTTCAGTATTGAAAAAATATTACTTTTAGTCGAATAAACTGAACAACTTTATAGTTATTCTAAATTCTTGATTGGTTAATAAAACTTCCAACACTTGAAGGAACAAAGGAGCATACCTTTGGAGACTTATCCTTGTCAATGATGGCAGCCCTTATTCCCTTTAAAAATAAATTAAAGAATTATATTTCAGATTTTAAATGAGAAATCACAAATCAAGTGTACCTCTTTGTGAATATGTTTGCTTTAAAATAATTACCTCATACAAATCATCAGATATTATGGTTCGTAATGTGTTCATTGTAATCCTAAATTCTTTTCTCAAACATTCAGATAGGGTTTGGGTCCTTCCTTCTCGTATCTGAAAAAATATAGAGATTCTTTCGCTTTCACAATTCAATAGATATGCATAAATTGTTTATATGTATTAGGACTAGTTACCGATCTCAATGTTATTTTCAGTCCAATTGGAGATGCTTTCTTTATACTTTTAAGCACTGGCATAATCCAATCATTTCCTTTTTTGCATGCTTCAGTTTCCTGAAATTAAAGTTATATAAACAATTGTATGTTTTATTTTATATGAGATTCCATTTCATTGGAATATCATATAGTATAATCAATTCTTACAAATGAATCCAGGATCTCCTCCACAGTTTCCCTAGAGAAACAATCATCGATTATGGACAACCTACAATTGATTTATGAAAAATGCATGAGTGTGACTATTAATTAATATCCTCACAAGAACAATTTGAAATCATAATTTATATGATACATTACTTGCTCAATACACTTCTTTCATCTATTTGAACATTTGTAGAGAATTCGTCGATGACAGATCTAATAGTATCCTCTTCACCGTTGTTTATGCTCAGTAAACTCTTCTCTAACTGAAATAATTTCTGTGAAGGTACAAAATGAGTTGCTAATCCAGCAGCAACCACTTCTTTACCCTTCAAATTCGCTCCTGTTAAGCCCAAATATTCCCCTACATACATTTAATTAACAACATCACATATATATTCAAATTTTAAAAATACATGTTCTAACTTACTTACCAAGTCGACCTGGAAGGCGTGGGAGTATGTATGATAAGCCACAGTCAGGGTGATACCCTAGATTTGCTTCAGGAATGGAACAAAACTGCAATTGTTCAATGAATGAGAAAACATTAAGATTAATAATTTACTAAAGATGTCATTATTCAAATCATAAAATTGGTACTAACTGTTCTCTCAGTGACGACAGAGAATTTCATTGGAGCCATCAAGCCTACACCTCCACCCATTGACATTCCATGAGCAAGAACAATATGTGGTTTCTTATAAGTTTGAAGCTGGTAGCAAAACCAATACAGTCTATAACCAAATTCAAGGCAAGAATCCCCTTCAAAGAATATTGTTGATCAGTGAAAAGAGCTAACAACCTATATGGTGTGAACACTAGTTAGTTAAAAGAAGCCGATGTGGTATTAGTTAGTTACTAAGAATCAGTTGAACAATATATGTATATATAGATAGTTTGAATGGTGTGATCATTAAGCTGTCTAGATTCAATGTAACAGTGCACTTCTCCGAATAATATCTCTCTTTCTTCTTCTTCACTGTAAATCTGTGTAGCTTAAACTCCATCTATGGAGTTATCATGGTATTAGAGCTACGATCGTAGCTAGTTTAAAGGCATAAAATCGACTCCGTGATGCTCAGATTCACCAACAGTCAAAGGTGATTTCGAAAAAAAAGAGCATCCAAAGTCGTTGTAATGGCAATTGGTGGTTCAAGTGAAAGTGACAGAGTTGTTAATGGTGGAGCTGGTAATGGTACTACTGGCATAACCTCGTTTCCAGTGATTGATCACAATCACCCACTCTAGCTTCAGCATTCCTTCTCCAATCAAATCACCTACTCCCACTTGTCTTCTGGCTATCAACAAGTGTTACAAGCTTATTTAGCTGTGAGTGAACCTGCTTCTTTCAAGGAAGCTGATGCTTATCCTGCCTGGGTGAAAGCCATGTAATTGAAAATAGTTGCACTAGAGAGTAATAAGACTTGGAGCATTGTAGACTTACCACCTGGTAAGAAACCCATTGGTTGTAGGTGGGTGTATAAGATCAAGTTCTTAGCTTCAGGTGAAGTGGAAAGGTTCAAGGCTCGACTGGTAGCCAAAGGTTATAGTCAGAAGGAAGGGGTTGATTATGGAGAAACCTTCGGCCCTGTTGTTAAAATGATGACAGCCAGGGATGTTGTAGCTCTTGCAGCTTCTAAAGGGTGGTATATATATCAAATGGATGTACATAATGCTTTCTTGAATGGGAACTTACTAGAGGAGGTGTACATGGACATCCCTCTTGGGTTTGCTAGACATGGGGAGTGTAAGAAGGTTTGCTAACTACATAAGTCTTTGTATGGTCTAAAGCAAGCTGCACCAAGGCAGTGGAATGTGAAATTAACTGAGGCATTAATGCAGATGGGGTTCAAACAAAGTCACTATGATTACTCATTATTTACAAAGCATGTTGATAGTGAAATTGTGGTTGTATTAGTGTATGTGGATGACTTATTGATCACTGGAAGTAATCATCAACTTCTGAGCAGCACTAGACAGGACATTCAAATGAAGTTTAAAAGGAAGGATCTAGGGGAATTAAAATTCTTTTTGGGAATTGAGTTTTCTAGATCTAGCAAAGGTATCTTGATGACACAAAGAAAGTATGCACTTGAATTAATCTCTGACTCTGGACTATGGGGAGCTTAGCATGCCTGCACACCACTAGAAGTCAACAAAAAGCTCACTTCTCTTCAATATGATGAACATATTCCTAATGAATGCACTAAAGATGACAGTTTGATTACAAATCCTACAGAGTATCAGAGACTTGTAGGAAGACTTCTTTACCTCACCATGACAAGACCAAACTTGGCTTTCTCTACACAAGTTCTAAGTCAGTTCATGCACTGTCCTAATCAATCTCACATGGAGGCAGCACTAAGAGTGGTTAGGTACACCAACGAAGCTCCTGGCTTGGGACTGTTGATGCCAACAGGTCACACTACACAACTCACTGCTTTTTGTGATTCTGACTGGGGAGCATGTTTGGAGACTAGGAGGTCAGGATATTTGGTAAAGCTAGGAGAAGGGTTAATCTCATGGAAATCTAAGAAGCAAGAGACAATATCAAGAAGCTCAGCAGAGGCAGAGTTCAGATGCATGGCTGCATGTGCAGCTAAAATTACTTGGTTGATAGGCCTATACAAAGAATTGGGGATCAGTGTGAGTCTTCATGTGAACATGATATGTGACAGTAAAGCAGCCATCCAGATTGCTGCAAATCCAATCTTCCATGAAAGAACAAAGCATATTGATATTGATTGTCACTTTGTCAGAGAAAGAAATTGCCAAGGAATGCTGAAGACAGAACATATAAACACCAAGGAGCAATTGGCTGACCTACTCACTAAAAGTTTGGGAAAAGTACAACATGATCTTCTACTAAATAAACTGGGAATGAAAAATGCCTTCCAACCATAAGCTTGAGGAGGGGTGTTGATCAGTGAAAGAATCTAACAAGCTATATGGTGTGAATGACTAGTTAGTTAGTTAAAAGAAGTTGATGTGGCATTAGTTAGTTACTAAGAATCAGTTGACCAATATATGTATATATAGATAGTTAGAATGGTGTGATCATTAAGTTGTCTAGATTCAATGTAACAATGCACTTCTCTGAATAATATCTCTTTCTTCTTCTCTGTAAATCTGTGTAGCTTAAACTCCATCTGTGGAGTTATCAAATATTATATATTTACTCATGAGTTTAAGTGAACATATATAGAGTCTAAAATAGAAACAAATATATAGTTACTTGTGTTTCGTCCATCATATAATCGTTTCAATTCTCCACCAGCTGAGAATGTACGGCCAGCTCCCTATGTGCAAATGTATAAGAATTTCAACTTTCAAGAAATGGAATTAACTAAGAAAATACTCGTAATCAAAATAGATAATTACCTTAACGATTACAAATTCAACATTCTCATCTTTCTCATATTTCTCAAATTTCTGCCCGAGCATTAATACCTGTTGAAGAAAATTTTATAATTAAGTGAACATTTTAACTATATATGTTTATAGATGTTACATGCATATATACCATTTTTTCTGATATAGAATTTAAATGGTCAGGCCGATTCAAGGTGAGCACTCTGCCGTGGCCAATCTCCTTAGCAATAACATCCTGACGAACACAAAAATAGTTTTTTACTTATACTTGATGAATAAAAAAGAATCAGACTCGCATTTTAGATTTAATATTACCTCTCTATTTTGTTTCATTACTTCTGGAGGCATCAAAGACGTTACGATAGAACTTGGTAGAGATGTTATTCCCATAACAACTAGCTAGTCGACTCAAAGAAGAGTGGAATATTTAAAATGATGACTTCTCCTTCTTCAACTCTCTGATCTTAATTTATAATTTTGTTTATGATATTTAATACGGTATTTAGTATATGTTTAAATATAATTAAAGATTTATCATCAATTTAATAAGATTAATACATCTATCTCTAGAGTTGAATTGGAAGTTGGAATATATATGAGTACTTTTATGCGATACAAATCTAGATTAATCGGTCAGTGGATTGTAGATATGAAATTGTTAAACCAACACAAATAGAAAAAAATCGGGCATAACTAAAAGTCGGGCACAACTGATAACTAAAAGTCGGGCATAACTAAAAGTCGGGCACAATTGATGCACAATTCTTTTAGTGATCACATTTATTTTCAATGATGATGTTGATGTCAAATTTCTTGACATAAATGTAACTTCATTCTTTTACTTGTTACGTTTCGCTTTATAAGAGTTAATTTGACTAATCTCTACAGTTAAATTGAATTATTAATTTAATAATGTTCTATGTTATGCAATCAGAGTAACATGTTTATCTTGGTTTTTGTTTTATTTTATATATATATTTATATTTTTTTTATCTTGGGTTAGTATATATGTTAAAAGTGATTTTTCTTTTCATGATATATTCACTTGATGTTGCTGGTGACCATTTAAATTTGCAAGGGTAATTTTATTCGTTAAAGAATTTATTAACACGTTGTGAAATCAATATTTTGGTTTAGATTTTAAATGAGATCTAAAAGTTTGGCATGAATAACAAACTATTGGAGGCGATGGACTATTAATTAGAGTAATTAAGTTGAAAACAAACTTAATTAGGTCTAGATATAGTTAAATGCCTAAATCTATATTTGTATTTAAAAACTACATTATTAGATATACATTCATACCATATCAAAGAATTTCATTTATAGTTTCAAAAATTTATATGCTATCTCACTATTTAATGATGGAATAATAGCAGTGATAACAAAATGGTGACCATGACTAGAAGGGAAAGGCGGAGGTACGAAAGAGGGTTCGCTAATTGAATTTCCACTCATAGAAAGCCTGAAGTTCTAAAATTTTAATTCAAATTGCCTCAAATCTCCACCAAATCATTCCAAAATTGAGATTCAAATTATTGAAAATATTTCAAACATTATTGAATAGCACCCCATCAAAACTAATCACAAATATATTTCATTTTCTCGTCTACTATCTAAATTTCTAGTTGATCAGTTGAGCTATTTATTAGCCCAAAGAATACTTCAATTGAATGTGTAACTCCATACCTTTCTAAAAATAAACTACTATTTCTAACTATACCCTTAACATTAAAGAAGTATGCACAATATTTAAGAAAAAAACAATTTATTTTTATTTTTATTTTTATTAAATAGAAATAACTTAGTAAATTATACTTATATATTTTTAATTTTATTAATGAATGCGAAGAGAATTAAAATAAGAAAAAAAAATCATAAAAACGCCGTGCTTCAATTTAATAATGAGTTTATTCGTCGGCACAAATTCAAATTAATTTTTGAATTCATACATTTCAAATATTGTAATAGTAGTTTTTTTTTAAAAAAAAAAACATGAGTTTTAATGCTCTCTTTATTTTTATTTATCACGTTTTACTTTTTGAGAGTCAAATTATATGAATTTTGACAAACACTTTGAGATGTATTTTTTTTCCAAGTCATATTAACATGAGAAGAGTGCAACTTATAATATTTTTTTTCAAATAATTTTTTAATATCAAAATTTCAATAATTTAATTCAAAATAACTTATTAATCATCTTTGATTAAACGAAACATGACAAATAAAAAAAAATTGAAAAGAGGGGGTACATTTTTCTAGCTAGACATAGTTGGCTTCAACATTAAATGAAAGAATTGAAGACTCCGATTCCAGAAGTCTCCAATTTGGGAAATGGAAAAAATAATTTAATTTCTAATTAATACACTTTCTAGAACATTTTATCAATATATATTTGAAGTAGGTATTGCTAAATGACCAGGAAATTTGATCAAAATAAGGCCAGAAATTTTTAAAAAACTATAATATTTTTTTTATTTTAAAATAAACTATTTTTTTTTTAGCTAAACTATATTAAAGTTAAAAGGAAAAAATGTTCAAAAAGGTAAAATAATACAGGTAAAATACAATTCTGGCCAAATGGATTTTTCCATTTGAAATTTATATAATTTATGATTAGAATTTCAAAAAAATAATTTGAAAACTTTCTAGAACATACTTGTCATGTTTTAATTATTGTTGTTACAACACTTAGCATGCTTTATTATTACTGTTCATTTACTACACTCACGCTTAACGTGCAACTTCACACTACTTTTTTCTTTAATAACATAAGCCAGCTCATGACTTGTTAGATTTTTTTGGAAGCATAATAATCGTGAGATCGTGAGAGATAAAAAGATCGTTTTCGATCGTAAAATATAATTTCATATTTTTATTATACGAAAAGTAAATAGATTGTTTTTGAAATATTCTCAATTTCAACTCATGTTGATTGAAGCATACATTATAAGCCGTTAATTTTCCTAATTTGAAAATACAAAAAGCGACTGCTAACTACTCTGCCTATTCATTTGTGTATTGTTTGATTTTTAGACACGACACGCAAATTAGTTGCTTACCATTTAGTGTTTTCTTTCGATTATTTTATGTGACGTATCTTTTTAAGTTCGTTTTAAAAAAGAAGTATTATTTTATTATAATTAGAAATAATTTAATTTTTAAATCCTAGTTCTTTTACCTTTAATGAAACAACTAACCCCATAAATATCTAATAATTTTTTAAATTGCAAATTTTAATTATTTTTTTTCTTCTTAAACACAATATCAAGTAAACGATGCAATACAAAATGAGACTGAAGGAGTACAGTTTTTGGTGTTTTCTCTTTCTTAAATTCATTATTACAGCTAACCATTAAGAAATGTGGCACGCCATAAGTGATGTTTCTCTCTCTTAATCAGATGTTTTAGATTTAAATCATGAAAAATCGCTAAAAAGAGGAAAATAGATCAAGGAATGAGTTTTCGGAAAAAAAATTATTGATGCATATAATAGAAAATTGCTAGCATAATCTATGAGTCTATTTATTTGTTGATTTTGTAACTAATACATCTTTATTAGTAGAAAACATGTTTCCTTATTAATGCGTAAATTTTACGCTACACAGTCTTACTGTTACCTTACGGTTATAAAAAAAAAGCGGCTTGTTGACCAAGCAACTATCTTTGTCTCTTTCTAAAAATTCCAAAAATGCCCTTGAATTTCCACCTATATATAAATGTCCATTTTCTCTCAACACTTCAAGCAAATTAAACTTTCGCATTTTCATCTTCACCAAATAATACTATTAAATGTATTTTCCAACAATGGCTCTAAGTTGGGTTGTTACCATTGCAAACACAATTACTCTTGGAAACTCGAAATCAACACTATCATCAATCGAATTCAACAAAAATCAAATGAATCAGAGTATCATTTCCATTTCGAATGAAAAAAATTCCGAGTTTTTTCAAATGCCTCTTCATTATCCAAGATACACAAAACATGATTACGAGAAGATGGAGGAATGGAAGATTGATGCGCTTCTAAGAGAATATGGACTTAATTTTCAGGGGACTGTTGATGAGAAGAGGAAATTTGCTATAGGTGCATTTGTGTGGCATGATCAACTTTGATTTTTGTCCTAATTTGGTTATATATGTTCTGGTTTTGAGATTGAGACGGAGTTGTTATTATTGTTGTTGTTATAGATGTCTTTATGACTAGTTCGAGTTTAAATTTGTCCTCCTTGTTGGAATATATGATAGTTTGATTCTAACGTGTTTGAGATTGAGACGGGATAGTTGTTGTTATAGATGTCTTCATTTGTGGCTAGACAAGTTTAAATTTGACCTAATTGGTCATGAATGCTCTGTTTTTTCTTATATACTTATAGCGGAATTTAATGTGCTTGAAATTGAAACGGAGTATTTATTGTTGTTACAAATATTGTAATATTTGTCTCATAATTTTCTATCTTATATAGTGTTTCTCTTCAAAATACTTGTTAAAAATGAAGAAAATGTTCATGTTCAAGGTGTTTTACGTTACCCCTTGAACAAAACTCAATACGAACATGTCGTTTATGGTGCTAGATCTAAAGTTCCATTATTCTAAAAAAAAAAAAGTACTCCCTCTGTTCCAATTTATGTAAAATTTAATCAAATTGATCGAAAATTTCGATATTTGTTAGGTGGGCCAACTGATCAATTAATTTGGGCTGAATATTTATATCACAAAACATACTATTGTGCTAATGGAATTAGATTGGGCCAACAAATGAAGAAATTACATATTGTTGGGTCAATTGAAATTAATAGGGCCACAGTCCACTGCCATCCTTACACAAATAGCCACTCTAATTTGTTGTTTACTTTTTCTAACATTTATACACAATTATATATTCATTATAATTTATATACACGATAATATATATATTGTAACCTCACTATAACATCCTTATATAACAACAAAGTTCATGACTAATATACATGAGAAAATGAAATAATCTTAAATTCTCGTTTTGTGACCTAGAAACTTAAAAAACATATAATAAAGTTTGTCTTGTAGAAACAATGAATTATTTTCATTAGATCGTTTCGGATGAACCTACAAAATCTAAGGTCAAATAAAGTTAGTCGATCATACATTTAATACACATAAAAAATTTAGATTATACTCATTTCAATTACTAGTCTCATAGATCCCGATATTGTTATTTATTGCCACTACCTCCTCGTGTCAATATCGGGTAATTTGCGCGCCTGTTGTCTTCCATAATAGTTAAGAAAATCCATTTTTGTGTTATATTTTTGATAATGTGAAGTAAAAAAGTTTGATTGGGGTAATAGTTGTTTCTCATCTTTCTTAAAGATTAACTTACACTCTTTGATTATGTCATTGTTTTGTCACTAATTACACAAAATTACGTAATTTAAATGTTAAGAAAGTTGA